TTCACTGGCGTTTCCTACGGTATCCATTGAATTAATGACATGGCCAGTAAAAAAAAAAAAAGAGCTATTGAATCTTATGAGTTTGAGGGAGAATTATGATTGGAAGAGGGAATGAAGCCTACTAGTACATAGGATGGTGGTCCACATGAATTGAAAAGAGCACTATTTTATATTTTGGGTAATTCTGAGTATATTTCAAACCATGCCTTCTAGACTCCCACTGAACCTTGACATAGTTTTGTGACTAGCCAGCTAAGAAAATGGAACTGCATAGGATAATGATAGTGGGCATGGGGTAAAGGTGAGGCTTAGTTACTTATGAGGAGCTACAGCATCTTTTGATGGCAAAACAATATAGCACACACCCTTCCTCTGATCACGTGATGCCGGCTCTCTTTTGACCAGCAGAAAACAATGGAAGAAGTCAGGTGTTAACTCATGAATTATATAATATAATTATAATGTATAATTAATATAATTAAAAATCTATTGATTTTAATTATACTTAATTTTCAATTTATATTATATGTAATATAATTAATATTAATATATTAATTGTGTATAAATATTAAAATAATTAAATGCATTCATTAATATGCATACATTTTAACATCTAGCTAAATGTGTTCTATTTCATGCTATATATAATATTTTATTTTGAGTTTTGCATTATGTTTTTTGTATATAGTGATATGTCATATACGTATTTGGATGTATTGCATTCTATTATGTTGGATGTGTTCTATATCATGTCACGTGATAAGATATTTTATGTGATAGGGTAAGGCATGTGGTGATATGGCATAAAATGCAAGATATGATGGTGTTTATAATGTGGTAAGACTGATAAAATAGTTGGCTGTGAGTTAACTATTCCAAAATGTAGGCAAAGGCTGGGGTAGAGTTAAACAGAATGTAAGCATGTTCTTCCAGTGAGGAATTGGAATTATTCTTCGGCTTGCTGAGACAGTCTCCATCAGCCTGACTTCTTATCTTCCGAGAGTCTAAATGACTATATCCTTAGGGCCATAATTAGGGAGGACCTGAGAGCTGGCCTCTTGGCATAACTATGAGGGTGATATTCCCCTGAGCGGACATCTACTAGGAGCTGATACGTGGAATATTTAGGAAAAGCCTGAAGGAATCGGTGAGCTGCTAGAACCCGTCATAAAAATGCTTGAGAATATATTTTATGGAGGCAACAATGAGTCTATGGACTAGATGTAGGGAAGATGAAGGCTAAATACATTACGGACTTTTGAATGCTTTTATATTAACTCCTAAGACTTCCTAAAATATTGTACATGCCAGAGAATTTCTTATTCTTTAAGAGATATAGTAATAATTTGGATTTATATGACCAAGGTTTATAATGTATGTGCCTCACAACACACAGCCCTGTGACATAGGTGAGGTTTACTATCCCCAGTTTACAGATGGGAAAACTGAGGTTTTGGGAGATAAAGTAGTTGGCCTATAGTCATGTGGGTAGACGGTTTTGGAGGCAGGATTCCAAACCAGATCTTATGATTCACGTCTGATCTTTCACCGTGCTATCAACAGACCCATATACTGTTGGATATCAGTTATCCAAATACAGCTTGACTATCAGGGATCCTACATTTTTTTTTATCTTAAACTGGTTTAACTTCTCTCAGCCAACATACTCCCGAGTTTCCTGCAAATTATGTCATTTAAAATGTAGATCACTCAGGGAATAAGCTTAAGGAAAACAAAACAGGAAGCTATAACTCGAAAATTATATAAAATTAGTTTCAAAGCCAAATTCAGATTTTTAGATTATTTACTATTTAAAAATGACATGTACTTCAATTACTACAGACAATTGAGAGTTAGTCTCATTTATGTCTGCCTAAGAAACAGCAGGAAGCTTGAGACAAATCGATTTGAAAACAGAGGTCAGGGAATCGTAAAGCTGAGTGCAACTCTAAGGTTCCTGCAGGTCAACATTTTTATCAAACGTTTGCAAATCTCTCGATAGTCAGCTGCCGTAATAGTTTATTCAGATGGAGTTCCTCTCACTGAAAAACTGGCCTTGTAAGTTTCTCTTGCTAGCAATGTCATTTTCATCACCCCTCTGCCTTTTCGGAAGGCCCTTTGCTGTATCAACTGCTGTTGCTGCACAACTTTGTGGATATCATCAACCAACAATTTCAGTATATGATTGTGGATTCTGAAAAGGCATTAGTTGAGTTATTAACAATGACATTAGGGTACTGTGAGGGTTACTAACCAGGGTTACACAATTTGCTGGCAGTCCCTACATAGCCAGTTTCGGTAATTTGCCAACTTGAAGATGAATCCCTCATATCTGACCTACCCATTAATTTTTTGACCAAACCTGAGCATCTACTTCCATTTAGTCTGGAAAATTGATTTTGCAATATTAACAGAATTTGACCACAGGATTCTTTCCTGGAAACTACATTTAATTTCTTGGAAACAACAATTTAGTGTAATGATTAGGGAACTAGTTACAATGTACTGCAAGGTACATTTTGAAACAATGGCCCATTGGGCCCCATTTAATGTAATGTTGCAAATTCCTATAATGTAGACAGGCAGCTTCAGGGCAAATATCTGTTTTCCTCAAGCAGCATGATGCGAAATTGTAAGTAATTTGGGGTAGTTTTCTTGTTGGATTTTTAGGGGGTGTAGGGAGACTTTCCTTTGGAAAATACCAGAGACAGGCAGGAAGAAAAATAAGATTTTCATAACCAATGAAGCCTTTGACCCTATCTTTTTGTTATTTTTCAATTGTTTCAGTAGTGTCCAACTCTTTGTGACCCCATTTGGGGTTTTCTTGGTAAAGATACTGGAGTGATTTGCCATTTCCTTCTCTAGCTCATTTTACAGATGAGGAAACTGAGGCAAACAGCATTAAGTGATTTGTCCAGTGTCACAAAGCTAGTAAGTGTCTGAGGCCGGATTTGAACTCAGGAAAAGGAGTCTTCCTGACTCCAGGTTCAGTGCTCTATCCACTGTGCCACCTAGCTGCCTCTTGACCCTAACTAACCTTTGTCCATTTGATGAATCTTTAAATGACCAGTTATTGAGCCATTTACCAATTCATCCTTAGTGTTCTGCCAGAGAGAGGAATGTGAATCAGGTCCTATTGCCAGAGACCATTTGTTTTGTCCTTAGTCTAATTTTATGTCATCTCACTTTTCTTTGGATGAATTGCATTGACATTTCAAGTAGATCATTGGGCATAAATCTAACCAGTTCACTATCAAGTACATTCAGAGATTCTTTTCTTCAAAGGATCTATGACGTCATCAAAGTGAGTATTCCCTTCACTGACATAAATCACAATCCTCCATGCCTTAGTCAATAGCTCCCAGACCTGCTATTGACAAAACAGTCTCTGGGCCGGTTGTCCATTTATATGAATCCCTTTCAATTTAGCTAAACTTTTCCTCAGAAAACAGACAATGTTCAAAACTTTCGAGCTTTTCCAACAATATCTGTCGGCACCTGTCCTGTACCGCCAAAGCCCCTCCCCACCATGTCATTTTTAGGCTGTGCTAAGGCCTCAGAAAAGGATTGTAGTGGAGGGTATATATTTGATGGAGAACATAAATGTGTGTGAATGTATGTATATGTAACCTGATTTCATAGTCGTAGGGAACTCTCATTGAGGAAGTTCCCTCTACCAATGCATATCAGCCTTTTGAGTCTAAATGACAATCGGAGACAGGACTCGAACCTAATTCTTACTGACTTGGAGACTGGCTCTCTATCTGCTGTGTCATTCTGCCTAATTACATAAGATTTCAGCATCATATAGATAAAAACATAGGTAGGGATAAGGACCAGAGTTGGAATTCTCTGTTGAGGAAACTCCTTCCACCAAAGCAGGTTCGCACATTTTCTTTAACCTCTAGCCTTAAAGAGTTACCTAGAATACTGAGAAATTAAGTGACCTGTCACATGTCCAGTAGGTGTCAGATGTAGGGTATGAACCTTGGTCTTCATTTGAGGATTACGGATGTAGAAAGGAATGCTATTGCAGGTCTGACTTATGGCAGATACCATGAGCTTGCCACGGTTCTAACCTCAATCCATAGTGTAGCACTGGAGATTTTTGAAATATCCCTAAATAGCCTTAATTTATGAAGAATTCAGACTATCAGAAGCACTGACTGGTATATTCATTGTTTGTTGTTGAGTCTTTTCAGTCATGTCTGACTGTCCATGACCCCATTTGGGGTTTTGTTGGCCAAGATACTGGAGTGGTTTGCCATTTCCTTCTCCAGCTCATTTGACAGATGAGGAACTGAGGAAATCAGGGTTAAGTGACTTGGCCAGGGTCACACAGCCAGTAAGTGTCCGAGGCCATATTTGAACTCAAGAACATGAGCCGTCTTGACTCCAGGACCAGCACTCTATCCACTGGGCCACCTAACTAACTGCTCATTGTTGTAGGAAATTATCAATTTGACTTGACCAATTTAATTTGCTACCAAAACTGGAGCTCTCCAGTAATGCAGTGCTTTTCTTTCCCATCTCCTACTTTGCTCCATGGAAAACTTGGGGTTACCATCTAATAAAGAAAAATAGATAAATAAAATACACTTTACTTTAAAAAATACCTTCTAGTCTTAAGTTAAAAGAATTTCTATTTTCTTGATACCTCTATGGCTGCCTTGCATTATTGGAAAGGATAGTTAATTTCTGCCGTTTTAAATATAAGATACTTTTATTTTAAACATAAGAAGGAAATCAAAATAAGTCAAAAGGGGAATTCAGTTCCCATCACTCTAGTTACTGGACCCTGATCAGGCACTTGGAGTTAGATGTGCCAAATCTCCCATCTGTACCACGTAGGATGAGTGTTCTTAAGTCCTGTGCTACAGAACGCCCTGTTCTTTTCTTTGAAGGTAGCTCATACTTGCAGTCTTTCGAGAGAATGAAATGTATACAAACCAAGTGAATTAGCACAGTATAAAACCACACAGTCAAGAGATACAACTCACTTTCTAGAGCTGTTGGTGGCAGCTTGGTTTGCTGGTATTTTGTGAGCTGGCAAGAGCAACTGAGTAGCTGTTGAATGATCGCTGGGCTGATTTGCTGGAAGTGCTCCTTAGAAATAGGAGAATGGCTGTTTGGTAAAAATATCTCCACAAGTTCCTTGGCAGAGAAGCAAGCCTAGGCAGGAAAATGTGTATTGTTATTAACCACACCATTGGAGCAAACTCAGTATGCATGTCCATTCTTTAAGAATGAATGAGAACTAAATGGAATTTTTTAAATGGAAAAAAATAAAGGTTATCAAACATACTTCTTAAAAACATATTTTCTGTGAACAAAGAGGATTCACTTTGTCCACTGGTCAAAATTTAACATATCATACTCATCATTGTAATTATTTCTGAACATTTTTTTTGTGCGACGTCCTCCTTTATTTTAGTGTTTTGCAATCATGCTTAATGAGATTCTGCACAGAAACCTCATGAAGTAGGTTAGAACGCTGGCCTCATTTCCTAAGCCGATGCTTTTGTTGTTGTTTTTCAGTGAGAATAGCTTTTTGGACCAATGGTCTCTAGAGATAAATGTACTCTAAACACAAGCTCTGAAGTAATAAGGGCATTGTCTCTAATTACCGACCTCTGGTATTCAGTCTTTAAAAGTAATATGAAATATCAAAAGCAGGGGAGGGGAATAATATCGAAGATGTTGCTATTGGTATAAATGAGTCTCAGCAAATATGTAATGTTAATTGTACTATTTTGTCCTGCAAAATGGCTGAAGAGTGGTCATTTCAGTCAAGACAGCATGTTGCCTTAAATAACTTACTTTGTAACTGAATTGATTGATTCCAACTAAATTGACTGGTTTATCTAGTTCTTTGCATGATGTAGACACAGTCAGATAGACATCAGCCATAGATAAACTATTAATAATAAGTTCAAGGGTAGAAAAACATAGTTGGGACCCCACATCATGAATTTCAGAAGCTTCCACTATACCTTGTTCAGTCAAATGAAAATTTTTAATGTATGTCTTTTATTTTTTAAAATTAATTAATATTTCCCCCTAGTTACATATAAAAACATTTTAAACATTCGTTTTTTAAATTTTGAGTCAAAAATTCTCTCCTACTTCTCATTCAGAAGGAAAGCAATTTGTTATAGGTTATACATGTGCAGTCATGCAAAATGTATTTCCATGTAAATCATGTTATGAAAGAAAAAAACAGACAAAAAGTACACCAAGAAAAATAAAGTTAAAAAGCATGCTTCAATCTTCATTCAGATTCCATCACTTCTTTCTCTGGAGATGCATAGCATTTCAATAAATCCTTCAGAATTGTCTTGGATTATTGTATTGCTGAGAATAGCTAAGTCATTCACAGTTAATCATCGTATAATATTGCTGTTATTGTATACAGTGTTCTCCTGGTTCTGCTCATTTCATTTTGCATCAGTTCATGTAAGTCTTTCCAGGTTTTTCTGAGAGCATCTTGCTCATCATTTCTTATAGCACCATGGTATTCCATCACAATCATATACCATAACTTGGTCATCTATTCCCCAATTGATGGGCATCCCCTCAATTTCCAATTCTTTGCCACCACTAAAAGGGGTACTATAAATATTTTTGTACACAAATGTTTTTTTTTCTTTTTGTTTTTTTTTTTTATCTCTTTGGGATACAGACCTAGTAGTGGTATTGCTGGGTCAAAGGGTATGCATGGCTTTAACAGCTCTTTGAGTATAATTCCAAACTGCTCTATAGAATAGCTGAATCAGCATGCAGCTCTACCAACAGTACAACAGTTTAGTGCATCTCAGGTTTCCCACATCCCCTTCAACATTTGTCATTTTCCTTTTTAACATATTAGCCAATCTGATAGGTATGGGGTAGTGCCCTGGAGTTGTTTTAATTGTATTTCTCTAATTAATAGTGATTTGGAACATTTTTTTTCACACGACTAGAATTAGCTTTGATTATTTCATATGAAAACTTCCTGTTCATATCCTTTGATCATTTATCAATTGAGGAATGGATCTTACTTTTATAAATTTGTCTCATTTCTCTATATATTTTAGAAATGAGGCCTTTATCAGTGAAACTTGCTATAAATTTTTCCCAGTTATGGTTACTGGGTATTTCCTTCCATCTTATTCCTCCCTACCTCATTTATCCTATTCTCTTTCCCCTTTTGCCCTGTTCATCCTCATAAGTGTTTTACTTCTGACTACCACCTTTCCCTCCTCTCTTCTATCAGCCCCCCACCTTCTTTCATTCCCTTTTGTCCCCCTCCACTATGATAGCTCTTTTGCACCTCCTCTATGTGGGGCAATTTATCCCATTCTACCTCTCCCTATCTCCTCTCCCAGTGCATTCTTCTTTCTCTCCCTTTAATTTTATTTTTTAGGTAATTGGCCCATTATATTCAACTCACATTTGTACCCTCTGTCTATGTAGACTCCTTCTAACTACCCTATATGAAAGTTCTTAGGAGTTACAAATATTTTTTCCATATAGGAATGTAAAGAGTTCAATTTTATTGATTCCCTTATTATTTCTCTTTCCTGTTTACCTCTTTACGCTTCTCTTGAGTCTTATTTTTGAAAGTCAAATTTTCTGTTCAGCTCTGGTCTTTTCATCAGAAATGCTTGAAAATCCTCTATTTCATTGAATATCCATTTTCCCCTGAAGGATTATACTCAGTTTTGCTGGGTATATGATTCTTGATTGTAATCCTAGCTCTTTTGCCCTCCATTCCTTTAATGTAGAAGCTGCTAAATTTTTGTGTTATCCTAACTGTGGCTCCACAATATCAGAATGGTTTCTTTGCAATATTTTTTCCTTGACGTAGGAGCTTTGGAATTTGGCTATAATATTCCTGGAAGTTTTCCTTTTGGGTCTATTTCAAAAGGTGATTGGTGGATTCTTTCCATTTTTATTTTATCCTCTAATTCTAGGATATCAGGCCAGTTTTCCTTAATAATTTCTTGAAAGATTATATCTAGACTCTTTTTTTTTATCATGGCTTTCAGGAAGTCCAAGAATTCTTAAATTATCTGTCCTTGATATATTTTCCAGGTCAGTTGTTTCTCCAATGAAATATTTCACATTTTCTTCTATTTTTTTTTCATTCTTTGGATTTTATTTTTTCTTAATGTCTCATGGAGTCATTATCTTCCACTTGCCCAATTCTAATTTTTAAGGAATTATTTTCTTTGGTTATGTTTTGTACCTCCTTTTCCATTTCACCAATTTTTAAAAGTTCTTTTCTTAAGTGAATTTTTGTATATCTGTTTTTCATTTGACCAGTTCTTCTTTTTAAGACATTCTTCTCTTCATTGAATTTTTGTGCTTCTTTTACTATTTGTCCCATTCTGGTTTTTTAAGTATTTTCTTCAGTATTTTTTATGCCTCCTTTTACCAAGTTGTTACTTTTTTCTTGATTTTCTTTCATCACTGTCATTTCTTTCCCCAATTTTTCCTCTACCTCTTTTATTTGATTTTATAATCTTTTTTTGAGCTCTTCCAGGAATTCTTTTTGGGCTTGTGACCAATTCACATTTTTATTTGAGGCTTTTTGCATAGCCATTTTAACTTTGTTGCATTCTTCTGAGTTTGTGTTTTGATTTTCCCTGTTAATAGTAACTTTTTATGATCAGGTTCTTTTTTTGATGTTTGCTCATTGTTCCTGCCTATTTCTTGACTTTTAAGTGGGTTGTGCTTCTGGGGTGCAGGACACACCGTCTCAATCTTCAGGATTTTTTTGTGCAACTGTTTTCAGAACTAATTCTGAGGACCTATAAGTTTTTAGTTCTTCCAAGGTGGTATGCTGTAAGGAGAGGTGTGTTTATTACTCCCCTGGCCTATGTTCTGGTCTGTGAGAAACCATAAGCACTCTTTTCAGCCATGGAAATGTGACCAGGGTCAGCCACAAGCTCTGGAGTGTTAGTCCTCCTCCTTCGCCTGAAACTGTGACTCAGGATGGGCAATGCAACAGATTCCTGCCCCCAAGTGCCAGCAAAAGGACCTCTGTAATCTCCTTCTGATCAGCTGTTTCACCCACTTACCATATGTGAGCTGAGAGATCTGGAAGCACTACTAGTTCAGTCACCCCCAAGGCCTGCTGTTGGTTTGTAGGAACACAGCCTGCACTGGCATAACCTATGGTGGACTGTGCTCCACTCTCACAGACTCCACACTCAACAGACCTTTCTACCCACCTTCTAAGTTGTCTTGCGATTGGAAAATTGTTTCACCTTGTTCTTTTGTGGGTTCTGCCACTCCAGAATTTCTTTTGAGGCATTATTTAAAGTTGTTTGGAGGGGAATTTGGGAGTCCCTGCCTTTTCTCAGCCATCTTGACCCTGCCCTCCAAGAGAAGATATTGAAAGTAGGTTCTCACTGACTTCAATGCTGGTTTATGATTGTCAGGCTGGCCTAACTTTTGTGAGATTTATTTTCCACTGTGTGGCAGAATACAGGAGAAAACCACCAAGTAAAGCTCCCAGAAGCTAGTGGTCTGGGCTTGACTCAGTGGTCTTAGGTTTCCATCTTATTTCCTTCTGTGCTTTGGAGTAGGATCCTGAAATGATGACCTTTGCAGCTCTGTTCTTCACTTGCAATAAAATAAGGTTTTAACATTGGTGGCTTGTTTGTCAAAATGCTAGTCTATGGGATAAAGATTGGTTCTATGATTTCATTGATACTGAGGACTCTCAGAGGAGGAAACTCCAAATGCAGGTCAATTCCTTCTCTGCTACATGTTTGTGTGTGTGTGTGTGTACACATATATACACATATGTTACACACATATACACACACATATAGAGAGAGAAAGGGAGAGAGAGAGAGAGAGAGAGAGAGAGAGAGAGAGAGAGGGAGAGAGAGACTGACTGACTTGAACTTATTTCTAATTGGTTACATGGCCAGCCTTTGCTTCTTTATGCTTTATTAGATTTACTTATTTTCTACAACAGAAAGACATTTCAATAAATCAATGAATTTCTCATCATAAGGTATTATAATGGTGAAACATTTGCTATTGTTTAGAAATGTGAAATTTCTTACCTAAAACTTTTGAGGCAAAAATAATGCAAAAAATAAAATGTGAAAAGTATCTTGCAATCACAAAGGCACTAACTTGGACTGAACTCTACATGAAATTCTCTTTTGCAC